TTCAAATGAATGAAGACATCATCTGTGATCAAAACTAGCATGATATTCGTGATCAGCACCCCGAAAAACCCCATAGCAGCCACGCTACGACGTTCTAACAGGTCCCGATTTTCCCGCCTTTTGGGTCATTGATCTGACTTGGAAGGTCAACTGATGACCTAGGACCTTAAAATTGGGTATCATCGGCTTCCTCTCGTCACGGGCAACACGCTCGTTTTTTCCGCGAAGCTCTAGCTTGATCAGGAGCGAAACGGCAAGGGGTTATACCTTATACGTTCGCGGCTGGAAAAACACCAATACGGGCGAGGGTCAAGTTGAAAGTATTAATTTGGTTCAAAACGATGATGGAGATAAGTTAGTTATTTAAATCTAAATATCCTATGACGAGAGCGATGGACATTTTTGGTATGCAGTGTTATCCATTGAAAACAGGTCAAAGCTATTGAGTTTTTAATTTAGTGGTCGCCGCTTACTAATCATGCGGCATACACGCTGCACATAACCGCCAATGCCGCAACGCAGCTTAGATTTCGAAGTAAGCATTTAGTCTCACCCGCGAGATAGTGAGCCCTGCACGTGCGGAAGGGCGAGAGGGTACTTCCAACGGGCTTGTGTAAAACACCCTTCTAACCGGTCGCTGCTGTGTGCCAAATTTGAACGCAATCGGCCCAGCCGTTCCTGAGATCTGGAAGCGGCATTCTGCACGTGCGCACGTGCAAACGGGGTCCAAACGGACTTTTGCACTGCACCCTACTAACCGGTTCCCAACCGTGTACCAAGTTTGAGCGCAATCGGCCCAGCCGTTCTCGAGATCTGGAAGCGCCCCCTGCACGTGCGCACGTGCAGTAGCACCCTAACCGCAACACATAGGAATGCCAGGGGGGCGACACGGCTATTCGCGCAATGTATTCAGTTATGGGCCGCGCGGGGCCTCGCGATGACGCGGCTGGAGGCAACTGCTCAGCGCGCATAGGATACTTCTGGCGGGGCCGGGCGCTGAACGGTGTGCAATGAATGGGTTATGGGCGGGCAGACAGAGATGAGGTATTGAATTTGAATTGACAGCAATCGGGTGGGGAAGGAGAACGTTTCTAATCGAGCTTGGGATGGGGAAAGCCGAAAATGTCACGATCGGCTCAAAGCTCCGACAGGGCCGGGTGCCGTACCATGTGTAGTAAATTTAGGCGGGCAGAGATGGGTTATTGGATTTAAATTCACCTTACCATCGGTTTCTGGTGGGGTTTGAAGACGTTTTTAGTCAAGCTCGGGGTGGGGCAACCCACTTGCGGATCCAGTGGAAGGCATTTGGGGCAAATGTCTTCCCCCACAACCGGGGCAGCGCCGGAAATCGCTTTTCGAGAATAAAAGAAAACTTGACAACTTTTCTGAGGAAATGTTGGTTAATCACACTGCACAGCAGTGCGCAAGGAATCGAAATCCGAGTTTTTTTATTAATTCGGAGAAACCTTTTTGGGGTAAGTCCCCGCAGTGTCCAAGACCGCTTCCTGGATCCGCCAGTTGTGAATAAGTCACGGTCGATACCGAGCTTCGGCGGGACCAGGCGCTGTATACGTTGTACCTACAATGAAGAGGTGGACAGACACCTAACTCCACATCCTACTGCTATACCCGTGCTTCTGTGGGTGAAGCACTGAAGCATCACAGATCTCCCACAGGACCTGCGAGTCGACGAGGTGGCTGCTTTGGCCGCCGGGTACTGCAGCTCCCTGGAGTTGCCTGGGACCGATGGTAAAACAGCAGCTCCGGAGTCCGGCGGGGCCCTATGGGCCGTAGTAATTAGTGAATTATTCTAAGCCACACTTCGGATAGTGTGGCTTATTCTAAGCCACACTTCCGAAGTGTGGCTTAGAATAATTATTACTGCGAATCTAGTGCATTTTCTTTAAATTAGTGAATTGTATAATGTACCTATATTGTTCATTTTGACAAATGTTTAGTTTAATGAAAAACAATATCAAATTCTTATCTGTATTCAATGTTGTATTCAATTTACATTGAATACAGATAAGAATTTGATATTGTATTTCATTAAACTGAATTAGTGAATTCCCGTAACGCAGAGATCATATCCTCAATGATTTTCTTTTATTCTCGGGCCGGGCCGGGCCGGGCCGCTCAATACTGAGATTTTCCCCTTATATTGAAAAGACTTCGCTTCGCTCGCTGCGCTCGCTCGCTCGTAATTAAATGTTGAGGTGTACCTAGAAAGTGATTGTCCTAATGATGTCCAAGGCCTGCTGCTCTTGTCCAACCAAATTCCGAATTAGACATTGCAATGTCTAATTTGTCCAATGCATTGGACCAAATCGGAATTACGAAGGTCCAAGTTCCGATTGGCACCACTAAGTAAAGCCGTAGCGCTGACAGTTGAGGACTATAAGGTGCTTGTAGAGGTGCAGTATGAATCGTTGCAGTGCAGATCCGAAAAAAGAGCATCTGGAAGCTTTATCACCCGAACATCGCTTCCCTTTCCTGCGAACCTTCGGAAACAGCATAGAAGGTATCGCCGATAATTATATGTTAGTGGTTATTTACAGATACCTCCTGGTAAAACATGTGAATAAGTAGGTGTAGGTAGGTACCTATTACATATATGTACCTACATACTAACATATGTAATACCAAGAGCTAACTGTGTAAAACAATTAGATACCTTTTCTTCCCCGTGAGCCTTAGCTGTTTGTAATGCTTGCTGAGGATCATTATTGAGTCGAATGACACTGGAATAGAAAAAAATGATGACGAAATTACTTAGGGGAGAGTGGGGTAAGATGCCCAGGGTGGGAAAGACGCCCCACCCCCTCTAGCGGCGAAACAAAGAATCGAACGTGGAAATTAATGTTGTTAGCGTAAAGTGGAAGACTGCCTTGTTAACTGCACAAAAATTTGCGAAGCTCAGTTGGGCAACGGCTGGCTGGTGATTGCATGTTTTTTATTTGCTTCTTTCAAAAAATCTTTTGGTGTCAAAACATTGTAAATATCAAAGAAGGTAAATAATTTGTATGTCCCTTGCTATGGTCGTGATACATTCATGCGTGTACCGTGTCCCAAACAGTTTGTTTCAGGGTGTAGTTTTATGGCTAACAAATTGTACTGATTTAATGTTAATTCGGTACCTTGGGGTAAGATGCCCCCTGCCCTGATGGGGAAAGACGCCCCCCTAAATCCGTAGGCTGGCCTTCAAGGAACCCGTCAAATCATTTATTACGTACTTGTGATGAGAGACAAAAGCCGATCTGGGACTATTGAGAGTCCAGTACGGTCGGGTGCTCCCCATGCCGGTCTCTCGGCCCACACAGCGACTTTTTGGGCGGCATCTGACTCTGAGATCCCTCACGACGGCCTCTGTGGGCCCCATTATTGGCTCCAAGGCCCCTCACGACATCGTTTGAGGGCTCCCACGTTGGCTCCACGGGCCGTGCTGGCATCTGAGGTCCCCACGATGGGATCGAGGGCCCTCAAGCATCATGAAGACCTATAAGGGCCCCACAGCGGTCTCCGAACGCCACCACGGAGGCTTGTTTGGCCGCGCTGAACTATGATGGCCCTAACGATGACCTCTGAAGCCCCTTACGACTACTTTTGAGGGCCCTTACGATGACGTTTAGTGTCTATTGCAGGCTCGAAGGGACTACTGATTCGTTCAGGCGATTCACGTGCCCATTTATGTCACTTATAGTGCAGGGGGCATCTTCCCCAACGCCAGGGGGCGTCTTTCCCACCCTGTGGGGTAAGATGCCCCCTTTCACTTCTTCAGGAAAATGCTTAATAGCATAAAAGCCATCATATTTCAGGCACGAAAGTGTGTTATTTTTTGGAGAAAAATGATGTCGGCTTCCGTTGAAACTCCAAGTTTTTGCTTTCCGATCGTCATTTTCGAATAATATATGAGATTGTAAAACCCTGGGCATCTTATCCCACTCTCCCCTACACCAGAGGTCGTCAAAGGCCAAGTTATACCTATTTCAACGTTTTTTTGTTTGTTTTTCTTAATCGGCACATGACTCAGGAATGAATTCCTAAAGCTGCAGCGCCGCGCAAAAGCGCATTCGATAGTTATTGTTCGTTCTTTCTGGATTGTGTCCTCAATTTGACTTAAAACCACAAGGGATAAAACTTGAGATTGACCCTTTTACGGAAAGTGTTTTTTTTCTGAAAAAAAACTTTTAACTCAACGCCACCACGACACTGATTATTGCTGGCATCGTGTTCCTCTCGTTGAGACGTGCCGAATAATTTTACCTTAAAAGGTCCTTTTGAAAATTTGATTTAAGGTCAAAGCTATGACCTGCAGCCGAGAAAGATGACCTCAGGGGCATAAAGTGGGGTCATGGGGTGCAGTTCTCCGATTTAGTGTGTCATGTTTACCTGTTAATCGATTTTGAGTGTTTAGTATGCAACTATCATCCAAAAGAAGGGAAGCTCAATTTTCTTCCGTTGAAATATATCTAATTAAAATGCCGCGAAATTGGTCTGGTCTTAGGTCACCGTCATCAAAACTCTGATATCAACATCAACATTATATACATACATGCTGATACACTAATCAATCGCTGAAAGTTTCAAAGCAATCGCCCAGTCGGTGTGGCTATAATGGCGAGCATTGGAACTTCTCGGGACTAAGTGCACTTGACTCACAGCATCTTCAGAAAAAAACATGATGTGTGCCGAAACGGCGGGCTAAAGCCCCGCGACTTTTTAAATGCGCAAGCAAAACCTGGGAGGGAAATGTAAAACGCCACCCAGCACGGCGTAGGATGCAGAAGTTGCAATTTAAAACATTGCAGCTTTCATTTCCTAGTCCTGTGGCGACCGCTCTCCAGTTATTCCATTCCGCCCCCCCCCCCCTCCTGACACGACCCCGCCCTGTTGGCGGCCCTCGGCGCTGGCCCTGACGGCCGGTTACCGGGCCCTGTCGCGGCTGCTGATTGGTTGGCTGGTCGAGCCGGCAGCACGCGCTCGGCCGCGCCGCTCGGTGTTGGCCGGGCGCGTCGCGGCGCGGCATCAGAAGTCCGTCTGCAGCGCGCGGGGAGGGCCGCGCCGCTCTGCAGCTCCTCGCCCCAGCCACGCGGCCATGGAGGACTCTGCGCTGTGGACCAAGATCATCTGTCTGGTGCTGTTCGGGGTCATATCGCTGGCATGCGGTCTGGTGCCGCTGGTCGCCAGCCGAGCGGCGCGCCGCTGGCGCCGCAGCCGCGCCGGCAAGACAGAGGTGCGTGTGAAGGAGCGTCTGCGTCTGGTGCTCTCGTGCGTGCTGTGTCTCGGCGGCGGTGTGCTCCTCGGTACGGTGTTCACGCACATGCTGCCTGAGATCCGCGAGATTTTCGAGGAGATCGAGAGTGCCGACCTGCTGCCGGGAATGCACTCTCCGGCTGGCGAGATCTTCATCTGCGTCGGCTTCTTCCTGGTGTACCTGGTGGAGGAGCTGGTGCACGCCTGTCTGGCCGGCCGCGCCTCGGCCAAGAAGCGGCGTGACGTGGCGCCGGCGCCGGTGGTCAGCTCGCCGTCCGCCGTGGTGGTGGAGGTGCACGGCGACCGGGACGCCATGTCCTGGCACGAGAAGTACGCCGAGCCGCCGCCGGTGACGGCCGCCGTGACCGAGGCCGCCGCCGAGCTGTCCGAGCACGGACACCACCACGGCGGCGCCGCCGGACACGACCACGGCGCGGTGGTGGCCACGCTGCACGCGCTCCGCGCCTACATCGTCATAGTGGCGCTGTCCGTGCACTCGGTGTTCGAGGGCTTCGCCGTGGCGTTCGAGACCACCAGTCGTGACGTGTGGGTGCTGTTCGCCGCCATCGCCACGCACAAGGCGATCGTCGCCTTCTGCCTCGGCGAGCAGCTGCTTGCCACCAAGCGGTCGGCGTGTTTCGTCGTGACCAACATGCTGATTCTCTCCGCGGCCTCGCCTCTGGGAGTGACCGTCGGCCTGGCTGTGGAGCAGCTGGACCAGGATGAGGGCTCCAGGCTGCTGGCCACTGGACTCCTGCAGGCCCTGGCCGCCGGAACCATCCTCTACGTCGTCTTCTTCGAGATCCTGGCTCCCGAGCGTCAGAAGCACGGCGCCGGCCTGTTCAAATTCCTTGCCGTCGTCGCTGGGTTCTCGCTGATCGTGCTGATGCACAGCTCCGGAGCCGGTCATTCGCACGGCGGCCACGGACAGACGCTGCTGGCCGGCGGTCACGGGCACGGGCACGGCGGTCACAGCGAGGCGCACGGTCACGAGCACGGCGGCCACGAGCACGAGCATGACCACCGCGCGACCGAGTCGGTCAACTCTGACTACCTGCTGCGGGTGCCGAACGAGTCGGGTCACGTGTACAACACTGTGCGCTACATCAAATCCTTCAACCGCCAGGAGCCGCCGACTGTCACCGCGGGCGACATCGTGGCTGGAATGAGGAGCATTGTGGAGGATCTCGGCATTGACCATGATCACGGCGAGCTCGACGATGAACATCACGGTGCCGTTGGCGGGGAGACGAGTGAAGACTCGCCAGGTGGTAAGGACTCTGGCAGGAGGAAAGCTAAGCCACAACACGATGATCATACAGATGGACACGGGGACCACGAAGAGCACGATCACGACGAACACGATCATCACGACCACGAAGAGCATGATCACGAAACGTCCGGCAGCGGAAGCAGCGGCTCTCACTCGGCGTCCGAGGAGGCCGGAGACGCGCACCACCACGACCATGACCAGTTTATGAGGACGGTCGCTGACCTGGCAGGCCACCTCGCTGGACTGGATCGTCGAGCGGTGGATCGCACCGTCACCCTCATCGACACCCTGGACCTGATAGCCATGCAGAAGACTGACAGGAAGGGGAAAAGCCGAGCGAAGGGCGCTGGCAGCTCGTCTGGTGTCGGGAGAAACCACGATCACGAGCAAGAGCACGACCATGATCATGACAATGGTCACGAGCACGAGCACGATCACGATCACGATCACGATCACGGCTCGGTTGAAGGCGGGCAGTTGTCGCCGAGTTCCACCGCTCCATCAGCTCGGTCAATGGCAAAGGGAGGTGATCCGAACAGGGACGAGTCGGGCCGGGTCGAGCCAGGCCAGGACGAGTCGCGCCGGTGGTTGCACGCGGCCCACTTTGGCGAGCCGATCGACGGCCACGTGCAGTTTGTGCTGCAGGAACCCGTCACTCAGCCGGATCCGGCGCGTGACTCAGAGTCGGCAGCGACGACCAGCTCCAACACCGGCACCAGCGAGGCGGGAGAACATCAGCAGGAGCTGGACGCGAGGAGGGAGCTGGATGCATTGGAGGAGGTGAGGTTCCATAGCCGCGCGAGAGAGTAAAACTGTCCAAGGATGGCGTCACGATCGCTCAACCCTGAGTATTCCGGTGCTGTTACGAAAAGAGTGCTTTAGCGTGCCTTAGAGTCAGAGTAACATTATTCAGTGTGCTAGCGCACCGTGTTTTGTCCATATTTGACCATTAAAGCGCTTGATGGTAGATGGAGTGGGATACGCATGATGTAGATGTAAAGTGCTGAGGTACAAAGAGGTGCTTCCGTGCTCATAAGTGCCAGTGTGCGTACGTTTTGTGTTGCGCGATGTAACTGGGTGGAAACGGTGTGCAGTAATTTCTCATTTTTGTGTCACGTTTGTGGTGAGTGATTAGGCTGGTTGAGCACAATCTTTTTAAAGGTCTCACGTAAGAGTTCTGAGCTGTAAAACTGAATGTTAAAATCGTTACAAAAAAAAAACAGCTAACCCCCTCTGGTGACCTCAACCTATCAAAGTGTACCTAATTCGTCCCAGTTATAGTTGTCAATCATACTTACAGCGCCAGATTCGTTGAGCACGTTCCGGAAACGTATCATAGATCTGGCGCTCCCGCTACCAAGTAATCTTGCCGCTACCCACCCGTGCACTGCCTGAACCGGCCGGGCAGCGCTCAGTTCAGTTCAGCCCTCGCCCCGGTCCCGGTTCGCCACCGGACGTAACCACTCGGCCGGTCGGGGCATTCCGGCGCACGCTCTCTCCCCGGCCCTCTCTCCCGGCCCGATACTCTCCCCTCTGGCCCTCTCTCCCCGCCCCATACTCTCCCCTCTGGCCCTCTCTCTCCGCCTGATACCCACCCCTCCCCTCTGCCAGCCTGAGCGTGCCTTCGAACCGTTCGGTTCGGCGCGGTGGGACGTGACGTAAGAGTCTGGTATTGTGTTTCAGTGCTGTATATACCCACTGCATATAGCTGTGATATAGGAATGGTTGGGAGATGTGGCGGCGTTAGATGTCAAAACCTCTATGGGCTGCAGAATTCGAGCTAATATAGCTCCCGAATTCAAGTGGTTAACAGGCCTTTGATAATTTCCCGCAATACGTAGTGTTTTGCAGTGTTACATTTAGATGTTTACTGCGGGACCGTGGACATGTTCATAGTGTCCGCTTTGATTAATTATTTTTGATTGTTTTGGGGGTTTTATATATGCGCTGATGATGAATACATATCGTTTCCAACAACAAGTGATTTGTGATGCGTTGAGCGAAGAGCGGGGACGGACGTTCGACTGTTGTTATCCGTTCCGGCTCTGTAAGGTGGTGTTTTTCCTGCAGCACCGAGCGCCACCCACACACCCGCTGTTCCGCCTCTCAGCTCCATTGAGGTACACGTCCCTGAGGGCTGCACTTCCCTGCTAACCTCCCATTATCTCTGAGAACCCAATGCCACTTCTGAGAACCTCCTGCGGCGATGGCCGTTTTGAACACCTGTCATGGTTTCTCTAAAGCCCGCTAAAAACCCTCATCACTAAATCATTGTCCACCGGACATCGACTTTGTCTTACCATGGAACCCTCCTCCGTCAAATCTTCCCGTTCATAGCTGACCTCTGTTGACCTTAGCCCGCCCGTGACCCCTGCCATTGCTGATGACGCCACGGGCTGTCTGTCTGGCGGTCGGTGGCTGTCCGGAAGTGGCCGTACCCGTTCGAACTGACCGGTACCGCGGCTGGCCGGCTGGGAACGGTGCCGTGTGAGGGGCGGGGCCGACACCGACACCGGATGGGCGAAACTCCACCGGCGATACGCCCGCCGAGCCGTGCCGTAAGGGACGCCGACACTGGGCAACCTACTGGTATTTTTAGGGAGAGACGGTGAAAGGGTAATTACGATTACAGTTAGACAGAAAGCTGGAGCTACCAAAATAAAGGCCAACGTCAGACCGCAAACGTCAATTTCTCTATATCTGCATTAAACTCTGATATTTCAATTAATGGTATACTTTTCAGAGTCTCAAGAGTAAAGCCTGTATTTTGTATTCAAATAAATAAAAAATAAATATAAAATACAGGCTTATTACAGGCTTATTAATAAATAAAAGTAACATACAGGCTTTACTCTTGAGACTCTGAAAAGTATACCATTAATTTATCAACATGAGTAAAAGTATATAAGATGACTTTAAAGTCCCACTTATCTGATATTTCACTAAAGCCTCCCGTTATTTCGTTCATTTTGCAAGACTGCATTTGCAATAAGTTCATGTGCTGATGTCTAGCTTGAGATTATCGCACACATAGCCTCTGTGGTGGCTGGCATGTGCCTCAACGCCACAGTGAAGAAGTGAAATTCCCGGAGTTAAGCTGGTTTATTGGTTTAAGCTCGTCTTAGCTCAGTACTAAGTCCGGGTCCCGACCGTCGTCTCATTTATCCGACCCGCTATAGCGTGGTGTGTGGATTCGAAAGTAAGGCGAACGTCACGTTCACCGGGACCGCCATCATTCGTAGTGAAATGGCAAAAAACCCGTCGCGACTTTGACGTAAGATGCTGTAAAAACAAGCAGCCCTGGAACAAACCACAACACATGTGTTACAAAAGTGTTATCTGAGATAGACCTCTTAGATAAGATATAGCTGCTTGGAGGCTGGAAAACATCCGCATATATATTTCGTTTCGTGCCAGCGTGTCGTGTCGTTGGTAATAAGCTGTTGCATGAGTTGTGCACTAAATGAATCATCGCACTCTATTGGACATAATTGACCATATGAATTGCTGCTAAATGGTGGCGGATGTGAAACCATATAACTATCGTAACATCAACAGATCACCATGACGCGCTAGTTGCGGGCGAATCATCACAAAAGTCGGCTTCAGAGGGCCCAAAGGCCTATAACGCGCGAGTCGCGGGGCTTCACTTTCACACCGGATGACTCTGTCATCTGTAAAGTAGCGCGTGCGAGATTTATCGCTTTTCTTGTGCCAGGGACGCTGGATGTCAAACATGGCGGCGTCATCACGACTGCGTCCGGCGGTGGTGACAAGCATTGAAACGAAACATGACGGCCTCTCCAAACTTAGCGGGACCGGAGGCGTGTGCGGTACTCCAGGCGCCTCAGTTTTGGGCGGAGATAAGCCATGACCGTCTGTCACCACCAGACGCCAGTGACGGACCGTCAGGACTGTCAGTGCGTGCGTTAGAGCGCGTCTGGTCAGCGCTCACAGCGCCGGGGACACCCTGTCGCATTTGTTTACTCCAGCTAGACAGTCTGGCTCAGGCTTATCGTCTTCTTAGCGCGGGCGTCTCTTCCATATCGCTGAGCCGAGGGGGCTATGGGACAGACCCCCATCCGACAGTCTGCTCGAGGAACGCACGTACTTACAAGCAACGCTGAGGCCGTGGTCTCATGGGCTGGGGAACGGTGGGTTATGACTGAGCGTGAGAACTCCAGAGTAGAACTCCAGGTCAATGGCTGGAGGGTCGGGTCGTGACCTGGTGCCCCAACCGCTGACACCCTTTGTTCGGAAGCCTAAGCGAGTTCACTGGACTGATTAAGTATCTCAATCATGAATTGAATGTAAAAATAAGTACGTACGGTTCTCCAGTAAAAGTCTTGTTGGTTTTGCTTTTTCGGACATATCTGCAGTCCTATATAATGTTCAAATGCATAAGTATCAACCCGAATTATGTGTATGCACATTTACCACGAGACTGTGAAATTGCATCGTTGTATGCCAAATACTTTCCGAGATATTCACCAAAAACCTCATTTTCTGCCGTTTGGGGTATTCTGGCCGCAATCTTCCTGGGATCGCCTATGGCATCAGTAGAGCCATCTAACGAGAGGAACGAGGAAACACAGAATCATGAATGAATCGAGCGCGTAGTAAACGGTGTATGAAAGGGAGACTCGGCAAAGGCTATCCGGGTGGCCGGCGCGCGGCGCGCCCTTAGGCATCGGCCGACCCTTCGGACCGCGTGGGGTCAGAGGTCGCGCTCGGGAAGTCTCGGCTCTGGGTTTTAGCGCTGTGCAGTCATGAAGGGAGGCTAAGATAGCGCTAGCCCGACTGACTCCGGCTGATTCGTGTGGGGTGGAAGGGAGCACAGAACGGGATGGTGGTTAGTGGTGGATGGTGGGATGGTGTTTAGGTTAGTGCGTACTGTGTAGAACGTAGCTGAACATGCATTGTTTTTTCATGGCAAACAACATGCAGCATAATGTGCGGGATTATGCCAGAACTCATACAAAAAGGAAATAATAAATCGGCCGAGGGAGTGGATGAGTGCCGTGACAAAGCATGACGATGCTGCCAAAATCGGGATGCTTTTTTGCCCCCATTTTTTTTTACCCCTAACATGCAGCGCTTGATCCGAACTTAGAGGTCCACGACTGACCTTAGACCTTAAAATCGCACCCGTCCGGTGCGCCACCTTTTCTTCAGGGGCGCTCTTCTTGGCTGTATCTGTTCTTACCAATAACTGAAGCAAATCGAATGTATAATAAAAAAAGGCATACCTCAAACACAGTTTTATTCACATCCGCTCGTGTGCATACTTGTTTTGACCTATACCTTCTCGCATCATAATATATCACTTCAGTGCTTAACCCTCAACGGAATTTTGGGTTTTCTGCATATACCCAGGCCGAGGGGGGGGGCGATTACGACCCCTCTCCGTCTTTTTGTCCCTAATTGAGCTAGCGCCTTGCGGATAAAACTGAGCGCGTGCGTCGTATGAGATGCAGCAACTGGTACCCGAGTTGAATGTCTCAGGCCAACTGATAAACTCTGAGGTCAGTATAAGTGCTCCAAGTCGCGGGATCGGTTTTTGGTAAACAACTTTACCATAAGTGGTTACAGAGCCAAGATAATGGCACCATCGAGTTGTGCATGCTCAAGCGCGTCGAATAGTATACGCTTTGTTTTTGTTGAGGTCAATTTAAGGTGTTCACCTCAGGTCATGTCAGGGCAGAGCCACTCAGGCCACGAGGCTGGCTCAAGGAGGTCATATCGCTTATTCGATTCGGTAGGTCCTCACAAGTCCACTGTGGCTTCCCGACTCGCCAGCTCAATTTGATCGGGACTTTTTGGTGAAAACTCCTGTGACCTTAGTGACGTCATAAATGAAGACGCCTAACTAGAATGGAAAAGTGAATGCTGGGGCTTGAAAAGATTGTATAAAATCGCGAAGTAATGCGCTTGAAACAGCTTTAGATGGCTCTCGGCGCCAAAATAACAGCTTTCATATTTCCCAATTGATTAATAATCGTGAGGTTGCGTGACCGACCTGACTTCAGGTGACTCTTAAGAAAAATACGAGATAGCTACATACAATTTGTGAGGCCTCTGGGAGACAGTACTAGATCATATAAGCTTCATTCCCCGTTGAAAAGTCCCCTGGCACGAAGGACACTGCGACGTCGCGACATTTTGGGACCTTACAGAGGTTCACTTTTGACGTCATTGGTTAACGGCCTGACCTTAACCTTCGCACTAACGATGTTTGACACTAGGAGGGTGTCTAACAGACCTCCTACCCTCAGTTTTTCGCAAATAACTCTCGCAAAAAGCGGCTGATTACGACGAAACTTTCAGTACCCTCGAGTTAATCAATATTACGCCTACCCTTAAAATTTATTTAGCGTATTTCGGCTCACATTATGAGCGCGTTTATTGTTTTTTTTTGTGGCTTTAAGCGATCAAACATGTGAAAGGATATTGATCCCATGGATTCTAGTGGGTGTCAAGGTCACGTGAAAATCAGTCAGGTCACTGACCTTTGATGACCTTAGTTCACTGCTTCGAGTTCTACATGTTTCTAAGGTATAGATTTTGGAGTTGATTTCGCATTTAGAAACCGTTTGAACATTTACGAAGTAGTTTTGGTTCCCTCGTAACATGTGACCTGAGCTGACCTGACCCGACCTGGACTAAATGCACGAAAACATCATCTGTGATAAAAGTTAACTTGAAATTCGTGATCACCACCCCCGCAAAATCTTATAACAGCCTCACTTTAAGAAGCTCTAACAGGTCCCGATTTTCCCGACTTTTGAGTATATATATTGACCTATCAACAAATGACCTAGGACCTTAAAATTGGGTATCAACGGCCCCCTCTCGTCACGGGCAACACGCTCTTTTTCCGCGAAGCTCTAGCTCGATCAGGGGCTGAACGGCAAAGGGGTCCAACTAGAGATGTCAATCGGATACCAAGTTTTTGGTATACCGATACCAAACCAATA